GCATCTGAAAAATGCTCAGCATGTGCCTGGCTCCATAAATGGTGGTCATCATTATGACTACCACTATTAGGTCTGTGCTAGTACATGTAGTGATTTTTAATACTGACTTCTTGTATTAGTAAGTACTATAAGAAATGATCATCAAATTAATTTGTTGATACACCTCAAATTCAAATACATTACCAAGCAGAGAAGTAGCTGCTGATATTATAAGGCATATAAGTAATGTGTGAAAAATACCTTCAAAGAGGGAGAAGGGGGTGTCTGGTGTCCTGCATCCATGTGCTCCATAATCTAAGCACCATTCAGCAAACTGCAATGAGACCAAATTAAGTTACTAGAATAATTTGTTTCAGTGACCCTAGAGGTTGATATATTGCCCCTAAGTATTATTCTGAAAAGTCAAAAACTATCAAGTTGGAGAAAAGAGATAAATGCCATTCATACATAGCTTAGAAGGAAATATATAATGAGTGGTCTAAGCCACAGATTATCAAGGTTATGGAAGAAGCAGCAACAAGATCACCCTATACCTTTTTTCTCACATAAATGCTTTTGAGTAGAATTATGCCCTTTAAAAGGAATACTAAATTCAACCAAACAGCATTTGAAGGTTTTTCTTAAAACAACATTCACTACCTACAGATGATTCATGATTTAAAAATTAAATTAATATCAAGAGATGAATGAAAGCGCTTCTCTCAATTTTTTGAAGCTACTTTGCTTTTGGCAGTCTGAACCCTACCTTACAGGCCCGGTACAGGTACTTCACATCCTGTGTGAGGTTGTAAAGAGTCAGGAAGGCATAGGCATTTCCTGCAGCACCATGGCACAGCCCATACCCCTTCTTCAGCAAACCGTATTGCCAGATCACATCTGCACATTGGTAGGCACAACAGAGATACTTCTCCTCTTTGAACACCTGAAGAGTCAAGGAATGTGAGTTTTCTTATATAGAATATAAAAGAAGGTTCCTTCCTGCTATGAAAAAAGAAGTAGTAGGGGAAGAAAAGAGAGGGCCTGACAAGAAAGGCAAGGGATTTAGTGACAGAGATGTGTTATACCGGTAGTAAAAAACTATTAAAATTGGCTTTGCTTTTTTTTTTTTTTTAATTAACTGGGCCTGACCTTGTTTACATGGTCTTGTTTTATGTGCATGTGTCTGTGTATAGGGGTGTGATCATTGAAGCAGCATTATTTAACTTGAAACTTGCTATCATCATGAGTCACTCTCAGAAGTACAAATGCTAACTTTCGTATGTAATATTGCTACTATTAAATAGGAAGTTTGTTTATATACTGGGGAAGAAACTGATTATAAACATAACTATCAGAACAATACAAGTAGACCTTCATTATCTTTTATTGCCTGCTATATTTTGAACAAAGACTTAAAAAATACTCTTGAGTAGGTATTTTTAATATCCCATTGCAAATCCTTAAAAGCAGAATAAGGCAGTTTTAAAAGCTCTTCTATTATATCTGACTTTCTGAAATGTAGAATTTGATATACTAAAAGCTTGCTTAGTGGGCTGGGGATGTGGCTCAAGCAGTAGTGTGCTCGCCTGGCATGCGTGCGGCCTAGGTTCGATCCTTAGCACCACATACAAACAAAGATGTTGTGTCTGTAGAAAATTTAAAAATAAATATTGAAAAAAAAATGAATAAATAAAAGCTTGCTTAGTTATGAGATGCCAATGCCTATTTATAGCCTACAGACATAACTTATATTTGATTTAGACCAATGGTTATACATGTCTTAGTTTACTTCTATTTTTTTCCCCTCAATTAAAAACCTTTTCTTTGATTGTGGCAATGCCATCCATACCAGCCTTTTTAGGAGTGATATTTGTATTTTTTTTTTTATTGTGGTAAGATGTACAAATAATAAAAGTTATCAGTTACACTTTTCAAGCATATAATCCAGTGGTACTAATTACATTCACCTTGTTATATAACCATCATTACTATCCATGTGCAAGACTTTTTAATACTCCCAACAGAAATTCTATACCTATAAGCAATAAATCCCCATTCCCTACTCCCTTCCTCAAGACCCCAGCATCACTTCATACAGATGGCATCATAAAGTATTTATCCTTTTGTATCTGGCTTGTTTCACCTAGCATGTTTTCAAAGTTTATGAATGTTGCAGTATATATTAAAATTTCAATATTTTTTAAGACTCATATATAGCATATTTTCTGTATCTATTCATCTGTTGGTGGGTACCTGGACAATTTCCACCTTTTGGCTAAGGAACTGTTATGAACACTGATTGGTGCATACAAATCTGTTTGAATTTTTGTTTTCCGTTTTTTCTGGGTATTTTACCTAGGAGTAGAATTGCTAGATTATGTGTTAATTAAATGTTTAATTTTGTGAGGGAACCACTAAACCATTTTCCATGGAAGCCATATCATTTCACATTCCCATCAGCAATGGATGAGGGTTCTATTTTTAATTCAGCCTCTGGGATATGATTTTGGCTCTGTCACTGATGTCATAATCTTGGTTATTCTGTCAATGAAGCAGTCTCTTGTTCTATGAAATAATGTCTTCTGTGGAACAATGGATACTGAGACAATAATTCATTTAGCAAAGTGATTTTAAGTCTAACAAATGAATTATATATTACTTTTTTAAGGACTGTAAGAGTCATTTTAAATAAAAAAAATTGTTATGTTTTCCAATTTTTTCTCAAATGAGAAAGTACACAGTACCTTATAGGCCTGGATGAGCATGTAGATCACCCCAGGGGCTCCATGACACCAGTGGACAAGCAGATCTCGATTATCATCCACACATGGAGGATAATTGCCAGAAGGGAATTTCAGCTGGCAAACAAAGTCTACACTGGGCTTGACCAAAGTATGTAACTTTGCTTGGCTCACTTGAAGGCTGGGCTAAAAATAAGAAAGAAAATTGTTAGTTTTGCTGAAGCAAACAGACTTTCTCAGGACTCAGTATGAGTTTTAAACCAGTAGAGAAACATGACCAAAAGGAATAAAGAGTCATTAAAACTTTGAATTTCACCTAGTACATCATTTTGCTTTAGTCTTTTGTGATTTCACTTTATAATTTTTAAATCAAAATAAAACTTGGCCATCAGTCAATGCTTATAGTCTTCTGTAATTATTATTTTTCAGCATTTGTTGTTATCTGCATACATATAAGTTTCCTAAGTAAACACTTGAGAATGTGAGTGTAGAAGAAATTTCCTAGTTTCAATACCTATAACATGCTCTAAAATTCACAAAGAGATTCATTAGGTAAGCAAGAACAACTTTCACTAATATATTCAGAAAGTATCAGGTAATGTTTTCAATAGAAAAGGACACTTACAAGTTAGGAGACATGGAATCTGATACCAGACTATAGCATAACTTTAAATCATATCTTTCTGTAGAGGATTTGAAACTCATCTATATACAGCATTATCTCACAAAATGATATACAGATTTATAGGACATATTGATATAAAGCATATGAATGGCAACTCTTGATACAATTTTTTAGCTTCCCTTTTTGATCTTTTTAATTCAATGCACTGCTCACTACTTAAACAATCATTTTTAAGTGTTGTTTTATCAGGCAGGGGGTGGGGCATGTGGGGTGGGCAGTGGTGTGAAGCATAGACAGGAGGCAGTGCTGGGAATGAAGCAATATTGATGAAACATCTTTCACAAGATTTTAAAAGTTCTTCAGGGGACATATGGATTATACTTTACATAAGAAATAGTGTTAAAGCTCAATTTAAAGTGTTAGTGTAGAATGAGTAAACTTGTCCAACATGGCCTAAAAATAATATTGCTTTATTTTATTGATATAGAGGCTTTTACTAAATGAACTTTCAGGATTAAAAATGAAATCATTTCAAATAGATAACAACCTGAAAATGAAAAAAATCAGTACTTAGATTTTCAGATTTCTTTTTACAACTAACGAAAAAGAGGCAGAGTAGATGTCCTCTCATTACCTGTTTTAATGAAAGGTCAATGAGGCAAGCACTCTACCAACTGAGCTATATCGATAGGGCAGAGAGGTGGGAGGGGAAAGAAGTGGGTGTGGGGTTAGAAATGATGGTGAAATGTGATGGTCATCATTATTCAAAGTACATGTATGAAGACACAAACTGGTGGAAAATACTTTGTATACAACCTGAGACACAAAAATTGTGCTCTATATGTGTAATATGAATTGTAACATATTCTGCTGCCATATATGAATTTTAAAAAAATTAATGAAAAAGAAAAGGTCAGAGAGGTAATCCAGTCACTGACACGTATGATTTTAATTCACCCTGAACTTCAGAAGACATGAACTCTCCTTCCCTGTAAACTTTTTAATAATTTACATGTACTTCTAGATAAAAAGAGTCACTGAGGGAGTGTGCTAGAAAAACAAAGGAACTTCAAGTCTAAATTATCAAAAATCCTAATCATAAAATTTCTAATTGAGAAGTGCAGAATAATTACTACAGCTGACATCTGATTGGCACTAACATACAAATTGTGATTTTGCATTAAAAAATCAGTAATAACCTTGAGTTTTTCAGCTCTATTTTCATTATTGAGTCAGAGAAAGCAGGCCTGACATTTTGTATTATTATAGCTGGCTACTCAACCAGCTGATAATATGTATATCCAAGCACTCATTTTGAACATGTTAATGAAGCACTTTACACCACACTGTGCTCTGGGAAGATGAGGGGTACCCTCTGTTGCCATTAAGAATTTATTTTCTTTTAACATAAATTCTTCTTCATAAGTACCAATTCTCTTTAAGGAGAGCTTCTAAGTCCCCTAAAATGACATTCTCTGAGAAGTTTTTTCTGACCTCTTCAAGTCATGTTTCTACAGTGACTTCTAAGTCTATCTGACTTTAGTTGATGTCTCCCAATATTAACAGGATCCAAGAACTGTTAGATGTAGCACTTTGTTGTTGTTGTTATAATATTGGGAATTGAACCCAGGGGCACTCTACCACTGAGCTACATCCTCAGTTTTTAATTTTTATTTTAACACAGGGTCTTGCTAAGTTACTGAGGCTGGCCTTCACCGCTCGTCTATCCAGTTCAGGGATTACAGATGTGCACCGCTGCGCCTAGCTGGGCAGAATACATTCAGCCGTTTTTCAGGTATATTATTCAAAATTCACTGAAGAGCTACAGGTAACATATACTGATTTTAGTTTCACTCCTAGAAAATTTGTTTCAGTGGATTTTATCTTATAATATGGGAATATATTAATTAAAGGCATTTGCTAAAAGAGAAGAGCAAAGGGCACTTCATATAGAATTACAGGTCAAAATTCTTTAGTCATCATGAGTGGCAATAGGTAGGAAGGTATGGTCACCTACAAATCAAATGTCAACTCAAAGCACAGTGTCTTTAAGTTTATACACTTTAAAATGCACTGAGGCCAAAGTTACCATTGTTTGGCTCAAGCAACTGACATGATGCTGTAGTTGCCAGAAGGATAAAATAAAGCTATAGGGTCTGTCTTCCTACCCAATACAGTGTACGTGTTAGTCGGGAGGCAAATTTTAAAGTCTCACCATACTCATCCATTACCTGCATCAGGTAGTAATAAATTCCTGCCAGGCCATGAGCAGCACCCACATAGTATTCCTGGTACCATTCATACATCAGTGGAGACTTTGCAGTGAAGTTTCTCTTTCTAGCTAGGTTTTCTCCAGAGGTTAACACTGTTTCACAAATCTACAGAGAGAAAGCCAACCGAAATAACAAGACAATTAGAATAAAAAGTTTTCTGGTGGAGGCAAGGAGCTTTTTGCTATGAGGTACTGAAAAATGTGGTACATTAAACTTCTGCCAGGGAGGGGCACTGTTTACTTCAACTGAAGAGAAGTAAATGTCTCAGAGAAGTGAGAAATGAAGTGAGGAAAGACAAGGAGGATCTTGAACTCTTTTTACTAGTGCTACAAGAATTCACTTGTCAAAGGAAAGCATAAACTCCTCCAGGCACAAAAGGAGACATCTGCATCTGGGGGGTGAAATCTAGCCCTGACTTTCCTCTGAAAGAGTCTCTAAACTCTCAAATGGAGCAGGTGGCCTTCTGACTCAAGTCTCTCGCCAGTGTTTCCAGCAGCATTTAGTGTGAATTACTGTTGGGCCTCTGTGTCTGACTTCTAAAGGTCAAGATACACCCTCTTTCTTAAGTAGGAGGATGTGCTAACTGGAGAGACAAAGGTAATAGGTTCGGCAATGAGCAAGTAAATGGGCTCCCAAAAAGACTTCTAAAAAGCATCAATTTGTGGTACCTGCTGAATATGGCTTTGAGGAATCTTTTCAACTCCAAAGTTCTTGTTGACAAAAAGAAGAGCATAGATGTAGCCCATACGTCCATACAGCATTTCATTTGGAGCATGGGGATCAATTTTATTTAGGTGAATTAGCCTAGGAATAGAAACACATGCCTAAAATAATCTGACAGGGATTGCTACTGGTGAATACTTAAAAATGTTACATTAATACACACACACACAGACACACACACTGTATAGATATTTTATGCATATAAAACACATTTGTATAAAGATATATATGTATACAATCCAGGTTCAAAGATTTAGCCCTCAATTAATTTTTTTTTCTTTAGTTTATAATGGAGCATACAAAAAAAAAAAATCAAAGGAAAAGAATACAGTGAGTGGTTGAGGCTGCCTGGAACCTCCTAGTTCTTCATGGAACTATAGCCTAAGACTAGTACTTAGGCAGCTGGCATCAGAGAAACCAAACTGCTGGTTATCAGAGCATGCAGCCTGGAGAAAGAACTACATGAACACACAAAGGACCACTATTTCCTTAAAATGAAAGGCTTGTTGTATCCCACTCATCTCCTTCCTTAGTTTATTCCTTAATGTGAAGAATCTGTATGGCAGCCTGATCCTCTGCAATTGACAATACATGTAGATGGCACAAAAGTATCATGTCCCTGTCTTCCAGTCTCTCAGCATTCTAGTTCTTATCTTCAGAAATGATCTTGGTGACCAATTTTTTTTGGTATGTATTCCTAAATTTATTTCATGTACATACAGACATAAAAACACATATTTATAAATATAAATATATCCCACCATGTTCTACACCTTTGTTGAATAACACATCTTTACGATCATTATATACTGGCACAGATTCCTTCTTTATAACAGTTACAGAGGACTGTTGAGCTAAGTGGATATATTATAATTTATTAGGTCTCTATTGACAAACTCAGTTCAATTTCTCAGATAAAAGTTATTTTTGTTACTGGTCCCAGGTAAGATGGAGTAAGCACACTCAATCATACCTCTCCCACTAAATATAGTCTCCCAAAGCTGGACAGAAAACATGAAGCAGCTATTTGAGAACCCTGAAAAGTAAACATAAGAAGGCAGAATGGGGAAGAAGACCATAATTTGAAGATCCACCAAACTAAAGGTAAGTTTGTCATGTTTTCCCCTCTGATATGCCCCTGGCCCAAAGCCCAGAGGTGGCTCCCTGTGGGCTGATAGCCCTAAAAGCAGTCCTTTACTTCTGTCTCAAGGATGAACAGGAAAGGGAGAGCCTAATACCTGGAGAGGGAGGGTAATTTTTTCTTTGTTCTCTTGTGCTCCAGTCTACAGGAAATCTTATGTTGCCAGCAGAAGTAAAAGCAATGGAACTCACAGGAGCCAGAACTCCAAAGGAAGAAAACTTTCTCACAGATATGAGGAGCTGTATTCCCCTGGGGGAAGGGTGAACCTCACTGCTTTACTCCTCTTTCTATCCTCCACATCATCTAGCTCCAGATGCAGGCAGCCATGAGAAGTACATGGCAGAGCAGGATAACTAAAGTCTGAAGTTTTCTTCCCAGAGGACCAAAGAGAGAAGCCCCAGGGAATCAGAAGATAGGAGGAAGTTAAAGATGGAGGTAAATAAGACTGGAAAAGAAATCACATTTGATAGTTAAACTCTGAGAATGAAACTTTTTTTCCTTTTAGCAGTGGGTAGAGGAGTAAATGTGATAGAGAAATGTCTTTGCTATTCACACAGAATTTTGAAAGTGCAGTTGGGGCTGTATATACTCGCTTAGCTACAGACTGAAATAGGTTTTATATTTACTCTAAGAAGGGTCTGAGGACGATGTGGCTTTCTCTGAGGTATAAGAACAGGATAGGGAACTATCTGCATGTGTGTATGTATGTGAATCTTCTTTCTAACAAATGTTTGCACATTTGGCAGAATGTACAACTACTTATACTTTCATTTTAACAAACTCAGAGGTAAGGGTATAGCTGAGAAGGTATACAGCTCCCCCTGCTAATATATGGGGGCCACCAATATTTACCAAAAAACAAGAATAAAAGAAACCCAAGTAAACACCAGGTTGTACACCAACAGGGAGAGTGGAGAGTCTCAGCTCCACAGGGAGCATACTTGTAAAAAGGAAAATAATCCTCCCTCTTTACTACTTCCATAAGCTTTGAGGGGAAAGATATGCTTAACATTTAAAATGAAGACGATATGTTTCAAAAAGACAGAATTAGATGATTTTAGTGACTGAAAGCAGCTAATAGTGATGAAACAAAGGCAAAGAAAAAGGTATAAAGGAGATTTCAAGGGAACTTCCTTCCCAATAGGAAAGAGGAGTTTGAAAGGGCACAGCTAGTTACAGTTATTGCAAAAGTTACAACTTTTTCACATTATACCTTGAGAACTGAGGCATCTCAAATTAATATGCAAATGTTGGCTCATGTAATTTTTTTTCTCCTTTAAAAAATAAGCAATAAACTCACAGTGGAGCAGAGGTTATGTTAGAAACAGGGTCACCATGGTCAGATGTTTCTTTGTATTTTTTCATAATACTTTGTTTAACCTTTGCTCATCATCATTCATGGCTATGTGGGTGGTAGAATTATGGGCCACTATGCTTTCTATTTCACTACCATATAAATATGTATATTCATTCACACACATATACATCCCTAATTTTCAAAAGAATTCAAAAGCATTTATTAAGAATTCTCTTTTTTTCCTCAAATCAGATATGGTACCCTCAGTATCACTGAGACTATAAAGAACACAAATCTGTTTAAAACTGCTGCAGTAAACAGAATGAATGTTTGCACTTAGATAAGAACCTATTATCATTTTAATATAAATGCATTGAGTTATATAGAATTTAGATTTTAAAAAGCATTTTTGATTTGTTTTTGAAAAGGAAATCAAAGAACTATTCAAAAGGGAGAATTTAAGATACTTTTTAAAGCAAACATGCACTATGGATATATTACTCAGAACAATTATTCTTTTACTGCTAATGAGGTTCCTGTCAAAATAAAATGCTTGAAATTAGAAATTGCCATTCCTTTCTCTTTGCCAATGTTATCACTTATACTACCATTAGGTGGCGATACAAAATTAGTATTCTAATTAATTTAGGTTGTTCAAAGCAAGTAGCAAATACTTTTCATATACTTACAAGTAAAATATGCTCAAAGTATCTCTTCAATGGATTTTAGGGTAATAAGGGAAGTATTTCATTTTTTTTCCTGGATTTTAATTCATATCACTAAACCAGTTGAATCAGAGGTTAGCAACAGTTGGACTTTTGACTGCATGTTTCACATGCTAAGAAAAAATAATAATAGCATTCATAAATCATAATGGTTATTTTGTGTTTTTGTAAACTCTCAAACCCGCAAGCATATTGTTCCAGCTCCATTTATTTGTTTTGATTATGTTGATATTAATAACAACCAATCTTTAAAAGAGAGATAAGGAAGTCATTGAAATGTCACTGAAGGAAAAATAAAGACATTTAGAAATAGGCTACTTCTATCCCAGAACTAGCAGTATTTCCTCAGGGTGTTATTGGGAGAGTGTTTTGGTTTTGTATTATATCAAAAGGTTTGTAAGTTAAAAAAAAAAAAAAGTAGTTCTTTTCTGACCCATCACACTACAAAAGCAGAAAGTTGATACATTTCCTGTCTAGAAAGCTAAAGCTCTTCATCAGTCTAAGTATGGCTCTAAAGCACTAAATATGTCAGGTTTGTCACCTAATTGGGTACCTAACGGGCTATGCTTTCTATTTGTGCTGTGGTACTAATGCCTCTGTGTAGAAAGAAGGGTAAAAGTGGACATGATATATATCAGGCAGTAGAAAGAACTACCAACTGTGATACTATGTACTGTTGTCCACTCCTCCACCCCTTGGTCATCAGCAGGACAATATGAACAAGAACACATACACACTCCTTTTGAGGAGTCAGAGACCCTTGCCAGAGAAGTAAAAATGGTCAGCCAGGCATGATGATACATGCTTATAATCCCAATGGCTCAGGAGGCTGAGGCAGGAGGATCACAAGTTCAAAGCCAGACTCAGCAACCTGGAGAGTCCTTAAGCAACTTAGTGAGACCCTGTCTCAAAATAAAATATAAAAAGGACTGGGGATGTAGCTCAGTGGTTAAGTGTCTCTGGGTTCAATTCCTAGTACAAAAACAGCGCCCCCCCCCCCCCCCCCCCCCCCCGCATGCGTGCGGCCCGGGTTCGATCCTCAGCACCACATACAAGCAAAGATGTTGTGTCCGCTGAAAACTAAAAAATAAATATTAAAATTCTCTCTCTAAAAAATAAAAAACAAAACAAAACAAAAAACACCCCCCCGAAAACAACAAAAACAAGATTCTAAAAGGCCCAAGGTTAAGATTTCTACCCAAGGAAAAAAACTTAATTTATTTGAATTTCAGTTTCTTTGTTGAAGAATTAGGGTTTTTTTATGATTTCAGAGGTCCTTTTGGATTTTAAACTCAAAATTAAGATTTCTGAAAGACCATACATAAAAGAAATGTAGGCAAGGAAAGATGAGTTAGAATATGATTGATATTGGCAGTGGAGCACAACACAGCCTCTACAACAAATCCCAAAAGGGGTATGATAAGAGAAGGGAGGTTGGTAAAAAGTAAAACAAGCATGTAGGTTTATTTAATACCTACTGATACCAAATAATTTTGAATTTTCTAAAATCAAACCATAAAAATTATAAATTATTCCACTGAAAGGGAGGAAATTTGAAATATGAAGCAAGCATATACAAATAATTCTTCTTTCTGTTCTACCATGAACTTTAAAAATCTAAATAGTTTATTTTTCAGTCATATATCTGTATTCCTAATTTTTAACCTTAACAAGTCTTCCAGTTATATTCTTGAAAATCTCATAAAATAAAAATATATAAAAAATAAAAAATTTTGTTACCAAGGTTATGAAGAAAAAACAGAATCTTAACTCATTCTTCTGATTTTAATAAACCAACATTGATGTTTGGTATAGTGTTTCTTAGACTAGGTCTTCAAGATGTGTGAAGACAGGTGTCTATGTAAGTTCAGTAAATGCTGCTCTCTAGAGTTGCAGTGTTTCTCTATGCACATAAACTACTAAAGATTCTGAGCAGCCAGTAGAGGTGTATATTTAATTTTGTTTAACTAGTGTTTGAATACAACCCCCAATCTGAATACCCTGTTTTCAATGAATACCATTAACATTCCTCACACAGCAAACTCTTACTATTTGGCTGCACATATATTGGGAAATGGCAGCATCATCTGTAAAATATGGGAGCACTACAATTTAATTTGATGGTATTTAGGAGCAATTCACTGAATAAGACTATCTTATGAACCTTGTGAAGTTTTTTAAACTGCTGAAGAAAAAAGAAAAAAGGTAGTTTCTGTGTTTCAAATTTAAGTATGGAATAGTTTTTGTATTGGTTAGTCTCACACAAGTCAATTGTTATGGACGGAACATATTTTAATTAAACTTTAAAGCAATCATTCCATTTGCCATTTTGGTCAAGCTTGGTAATATGTTTTATCCTAAATATTTCCCAGCCTTGAAATACAATTTTAGAGTTTTTTCTTCCACATACACTAAATAAGTTGTACTACATAATTTATAACCTTTAACAGATGTAGCATAGTTATACATAAAAAAAAAATGGTTTAGAGTCCTGCAAAAGCTCATGTGTGAGACAATACAAGAATTTTTAGAGATGAAATGATTGGGTCATGAGAACCTTAACCTAATCCACTGTTATGAATTAACTGGGTGGTAACTATAAGAGGTATGGTTGGAGGAGATATGTCAATGGCTTGGATTGCCTTTAGGATTTATATTTTGTCGATGGTGGGCAAAGCTCTCTGCTTCCTGATTGCAATGTCTTGAACAGCTTTCCTCTGACATGTCCTTCCACTCTGATATTCTGCCTCAACCCAGGTTCAGAGCTATGGAGTTGACCAACCATGGACACTGACCTCTGAAACCATGAGCCCCCAAATAAACTTTTCCTGTTCTACATTGTTCTTGTCAAGTCTTTTGGTCACAGTGATGCAAGAGCTCACTAAAACATGTCAATTCAGGGGATTTTTTAATATAATTATTAACAAAGCATTATAGAGTAAAAGACTCCTTAACCCACTCATTTTCTCCTTCTCTTACAATTTCTAGTGGAAGCCAGGTGCAGGAGCACATGCCTATAATCCCAGCTGCTTGGGAGGCTGAGGCAGGAGGATTGTGAGTTCAAAGTCAGCTTCATCAACTTAGCAAGGCCCTAAGCAACTTAGTGAGGCCCTGTCTCTAAATAAAATATAAAAAAAGGGCTGGGGATATGGCTTGGTAGTTAAGCACCCCTGGGTTCAATCCCCAGTTAAAAAAAAAAGTAAAAAATAAAGAATTCCAGTGAAAGTTACAATATGATAATAGTAATAAGAAAAAAATAGAAAAATATAATAAAGAAAAATTGAAGGAAGAGGGAGAATTTGTTTGTGTATGCTTTTGCCAATTTGTGTACATGTGTGGTTAAACAATATGGGCATGAATGCTTCTTTCTTTAAACACAACATAATTATGTCCAAAAAGCCTGTTGATGAAATACACACCACCACACAGTACAGTCACCCCTTAGTATTCATAGGGATTGGTTCCCATTTCTCTGGTGGGTACTGAAATCTGTGGATGTTCAAGACCCTCATATGAAATGGCATAGTAGCATATAATCTATACTTATCGTTCCCATCTACTTTAAATCATCCCTAGATTACTTACAATACTCAATGCAATATAAAAACTATGTAAATAGTTGTATTGCTTAGAGAATAACAATATGTAAAAAAAAAAAGTCTGTACTATTCAGTACAAAAGAAAATTTTTTTGTAATATTTTTGATCCACAGCTGAATCTATGGATGTAAAATTGTGGATATGGAAGGCCAACTGTTTAACTAAGAGATCCTTAACTAACTTTACTGGTGATGATAATGTTATTTGGGTGGTAATTTATAATAGAGAATACTGGGCATGAAAAACCATGGACAACTCAGTGATAATCACTGATTAAAATGCTGCTGAGTTTGCAACTCTCCTGTTAGTGTAAACATGCTCAGTGGGAGCCTATGAGCCCTACATGGAGTTGCATGGCAGTCAGATTCCTTAGTAAATTCAAAGGCATGCTCAATAAACTCTAATAAGGCAACAAATAAAGTTTATTAATACAAAAGTTTAGTAATTCATAATTCATAAGGTTCCAGTGGAGTGCCATGACTTGTATTAAAAATGGAAATCTGGATTTACATGGCATTGTCCCTGAGAAAGGCAGTCTTGAATTAGTTGTGGTCCCTTAGGATGCCTCTCTAGGCTCAAATGCAAGAATTTAAATGCATTTCTTTGAATTTCTGATGCTGGATTAGCAATCACTTGATTAGGTTTTTGATCTCACAAACGTTACTGAACTCATGTTTAATCTGGAACATGCCGATGTCTTGTATCTTGCAATAAAATAGGGATTACAATGGTTGTTTCTTAACTACGACACAGGAAAAATATATAAGAACTGATCAAATACAGGAATAAAATTTATCTGCCAAGAAAAGCATTCACTAGAATGTTTTTTTGCTGACATATGCAAAATGCAATACGTCTAGGTAATAATCCTTACAAAGAAACATGATTACCGTGTGATGCAATCATCTGCCTGCTTCTCATTGTTCATCTTGCTATACAGCACAGCGGCCACTGCGAGGGGTCCTGCATCGCCGCAAAGGAAGGTAATGGAACGCTTGGTCAAACAGTTCAGGCTTTGCTTCACATAGCAATGTGCCATCTGGAGGTAGGCAGGGTCCCCGAACACTTCAAAGAGATGTAAGTAAAGCACAGCAATACCTTGAAAGCAAAAAGAAAACAATGTAAAGATGAGGAAAGGACAACTGATTTTATTTTGGCATGTGTGTATTCTTGATAGCTAAACGATAAGTTATGAAATCATGGTCCCCAAAACATAGTAATCTACTTAATTAATGATTTAATTAATAAGACATGTTTTGTCCTTGTAACCTAAAGAAACTCAAAGTAGGGATTGGAAAACTAAATTTCTTTTCATACAAAAAACTTTTGTGTGAGAAGGTAGTTTGTGTCATCAAATCCCCTACGTACACTATCTTTTCAGGCAGGGATTGTAAGAAAGTTATTTGATATTTGAGAAAATACATTCAATTTCTCTTTAATCTTTTCTTTTCTGTCAAGGACTCAGCTACCTACTATTAAGTAAGAGCTGTCAGTGACTTCGGCTTTGGGTTTTACTTGATTTGCTTCTTATCCTATTCTTGAAGCCTGCTACCTGTAACTGAGGTGTTGTCTGCATGTCCTTATTCCAACTACCTGTCACAGTAGATCAAGACTTTCTTCTGAAGCCAACTGGTCTCAGAGTAGACTCAAAGATGTGGAG